AACACTTTCACTCGAAATGGAAGTAAACTCAACAATTATGAAACAAGAGATTCCTCAAAACCCAACTTTTATTCGCACAAGCTAACAAGTTTGGGACTAACAGTGTAGGCGAAATGTCTGAGACTGTCTCCACTAAACGGTATGATGCCTGAGGATCACATGGGAGGAAGGGCACAGGACGCAGAATGTGGAATACTCTTCGAAGTCTATCTGGGAAGATGGTTAAGTTACAAAAACGAGGCCAACCAGGGAAAATAAAATATATGAAGACCAAGATGTTGTGGCCTCCGTTATGGTCGCAGTCTCCTTTCGGTGTATAGAAGTGGGTTGACCTCGTTGTCGCAACTTGGTCTTGTTGTCAGGGCGACTATGTTGAAATGTATCGAGTTCACTGTCAGATGCTGGGAGTCATGACAGCTACTATGGCAGATGACTTCGGACTATGTGCGTTCTACATAGTCGTCCTGACAACAAGATCAAGTTGCGACAACGAGGTCAACCGACTTTAGGGAAAATAAAGTTCAACCAAACAATGTTCTATCATGCTTAATTAATATACGACTGATGTGACAAGTTCTAGCTCTGTTTTAGTTAATTGGACGTTAGTCCACAGGAGAATTAAGGAAATGGCACTTACAAGGATAGTGCACTGTTGTCCAGTTTTTGCATGTTGCGAGACCAGCTTCCACAGCGAAGGGTTCACTACAAAAGGCACATGTTCAGCGGCGCAGCATCAGATCTCAACTACCGATCGTGAGCCACTGTTGGGGACTTGTGCAGGCAGAGAAGAGGCAATCAGAGTGACTCGGGATGACTGAGATCAAGAATTCGATTCAATACAGCCTGTCAACTCGAGGCATGTGTGCATCAGCTGGAAAGAGCAAATCCCTGAAAACAAACTTTCTGACACATGCTCTAGCTCGCATGCATGCAGACGGGCACAAGGACGCAGTAACACGGACGTTCATGTGCTAGGTCTATATGAAGGCATACCTGAGAGTGTAATGTGCAGCGATGCATATACAGTGTGTATAGACGCTTGTGCACATGCATTCAGGCATTCATACGAACTTTTTCACCAACGTCCATCCGAAGCTATTAGAAATGTCCTGTCACCATGACGCATCTCACTTCCATCGCATTCAATCAGACCTATCTGCCATGGCCAGGCCGGATCATCTACAGGCCGATTGCACACGTAGGCCTGCTCCTCCCTACAGCACAAATCTCGTCGTCTCTCCTTCTTCGCGTAACCATTCCGTCTTTCGCTGTCCATCATCCTCTCTCAGCTGCTGGACGTATGAAGATGATTGGCGGATAAGTAGATGGCCAATAATTGTTAAGATTACCTCATGTCGCCTGCATTCCGATGGTTGCGCTTTCCTAGTCAGACTCTACTGCGCCTTGACGATAGAGGCTTCAACCCGACCTTTGTTGTCTATATAGCCTAGGACCAAAAACGTAAATCGTACAAGTATACGACATACAATGATGTTCTCAAGACAATCCTTTGCTTCTCTTATGCTGGCGACTGAAACGGCGCTTAACTGCGCTTCTACGGCACACTCACACAACCGACATGTGCATAGGGCACAAACAAGTTTGTAAGCCTTATGCATGTGCATGCATATATCATATAGTTATAGATTCACTCATGAATGAGTAGGCTGAGAGGCGAATACTGCTGGAAGAGGAAAGAATTCAAGCTTTTAAGCCTTAAAGGTGAAGGTCGGCACGCAAATGTTCAACTTAGTATAAACGAATTGATCCAGTTCAATCTATCATAGAGGCTCGCGCCCGATACAGTCTAGCCTAAGGTTTTTAGCCCTACAAAAGAACCCTCTACACTTTTACAAAAGGAGCCAACCAGTGGCAGAAGAGAGTTGATCGGGCTATATTGCTCGCAGGTTCGAGTCCCGATGCACCTGACCAGAGGCAAAAATGGGATCTAACTGTACTTGAATTTTCGACGATAAGCCCTAATTGTATGACGTATTTGAAATCGGGTATTTTATTTCTTCCCTTCGTTAATCTACCTAATGCTAGGCTTATCATTTCGAGTGAAAGTGCTTGGTGAAGAGATTCGAAGGTCGATTCCACCAGAATACTAGGGTGAATTCTTCTTGACCAGCTGTCGATTGGCTTTACTGGAACATTCATGCTGACACTGGTTGCGAGGTAATCTCCTTCGATTCCGGTGCAAAGGTGCTAAGCTTTCGTCCGTCATATGACGAACAACATCAGAACAAGGTATCATCGTCGCAAGACATATTTAGGAGAAAATAAAAGATTCCGGATTTTCATTTCTTCTAAAATATTTCTTATCTAAAATTGCATCCCTTAGCAATCTGAAATTTTTAAATAATATTAATTTGAGCTGAGGGAACTCATTATCGCAATCGCCACTTATGCCCACGTTTAGAGAGAAAGTTGACCAATTATCCAGATCAGGCCACTATAAAGTAGCGCGACCACCTGAGAGACCTACCATCCCATTCGTCAAGAGGTGGCTGAATACAAAAATGTCTGTAGAGGCAGTTGGGTTCAAAAAGCAGAGGTAGAGGAACACAGGGCAGAAACTGGACAGGATGAAGGGTCTCAAAATTATCGCTTTGGTGATTATGTCTGTAGCTAAATGCAAAATTAGAAGCCATCGAAAGCAACAGATTAAACAGTCCACTGAATATTAAGAATACCGGCAAGAAGTTCATTAAGAACTCCTTTCTATTCATAGAAAGTGGGCTTTGAAACTATCATAAGAACTCTAATTCAAGAATTACTTATGCTTGGTCGAAAGACTTGAGGAGAGAATGGTTTTCTCCAAAAAAAGGGAGACGGCTCAGCTAAAATTTTGTTGGTCACCATTTAAATTACGATAACACTTTAAATACGTCTTAGTTAACACGCTCTCTCTCACCTACACAAATAGAAAAAGGTCAACAGCTTTCCCTAGATTGACGTATAAATGCATAGATTTAGGGTATATATATAAATAGAGAGAGAGAGGGGAAGAGCTGGTGAGTTTATTTAATTTGCTAGCTTGAATTTGCTCTACGAAGAACATCTTGCTCTGATGATATCTTTGATATGAAAAACTAAAGCTTAGCACGATTTTAAAGGAATCAAAGGAGATTAATTCGGGGAAAGCGTCAACCATAATTTGCCAGTAGCATATAGATAGCTATTCAAGAAGAATCCGTTGTTATCTTCTGGTGGGATCGATCTTAAAATCTCCTTATCACATACTTACATTCTAACTGAAAGTATGCTTTACTATGGTAGCAAACTAACGAGAAGCCTTCTTTTATTGCCTCTTTCGTTCAGACTCATTCATGTCCGTCCGACATGAAGCTTCCTACCAGTAAGGCCACTCCTGTTAATTGCTGTTTAGTAAATGCCTTACTTTGCCCACGTCTCATCTATACAGTTGATTTTTCTACTTTAAGTTCGGTCCTGTGCTCAAGTCGGGTTTCGAGGATAAGCATGTTCACGAGCAAGTATTGAAAAATTAGTCTCGTTTTCATAGTTACCTAGAGTGCATTAGCCTGGACGAGAACGCCTTACCAATTGTACCTGTTCGGTTAGTATTTCGGATATGGTTGGGCCGACCATAAAAAGTTCATCGACCTTGTTTTCGCAACTTAATCATATCGACAGGAAGACATAGAGGTGCGCAACATATACGAAGTCGATAGTATGCATGATCTTTTCCAGAATCTGAACATGGACTTGGTACATTCCCAGACATTTCGCCGACATTGTAATCGGCATCATCACTGCGCCTTGCCAGTCTTAGCAACACATCACAACTCGCCAAAGAGACAAGTGAAGTCGATCCTTTGACCAAATGTGTGCTAAACAGTTGTGGTATCTCTCCTTATGTCTTAGGCTATTCACCTCTCCTAGATCCTCGTATCACTCCTTTAATATCACAATTTCCTACTTATTTATCTAAACCTATTTGAAGCCTATTCCCACCCGCCGCTGGTTTCCACATCCCTCCTACTGTGCCGGAAATGTTGATCCAAGGCTGCGGTTTAATTCGCAATCTTCTTCCTTCGGGTCCTATCAAAGTCTCCCTCTTGCTCCGTAGGCTCCATCCCTCATCTGCCTGTTTCAGGGATTTCATTCCATTAAGTTCTACACTGCCTCGAGCCTTTGATAGCATGTATACACCAGCCTCACTGAGCAAATCCCTAAGGTATCGATTCTCAATTGGCATGGCAACCTAACTAGAAGCTGCAGGCTCCCTTATCACTGTGCACGGAGCAAATCTTGTGGTCAAGACGTTAATTCATGGACCACGGGTATGAGCAAACCTATCTACTAATAGCTAACT